ACAGATTCCACTTGGGTCTGAATTTTTAAAAACTAATAAGTTTTTTAATGTAAAACCTGCTCTTGAAGTACATGCAGCAGAGTAAAAACTCCTCTACTAGTGGAAATATCCAACACAGCAGCTGAGCAGAAGCATCTCGTTGTGTTCTGACCAACAGACACAGAGTTGCAGCTGCTCGTCTGAACAAACTCCTCTGCACTCCTTTGCTTTTGTAACTGGAAGCAGCAGAGAAAAGTGTTTAGAAACAGAAGACAACGCCGCCATTCTTCGCTCTGAGCCGCCGTCTGGTGAGTAAACCGTCTTGTTTGGTTCTGCTTGGTCAGATCGGACTGGAGCGGTTTAATCGTCGCACAGTGAAGGTGGTAAAAGCTCCCTGCATCTTATAAAGCGTCGCCTCAAAGGTCATCGTGTTCAGGCTTCCACAGTGAGCTCTGTGACGAACTGCTGTAAAAAATACAACAAGAGAGAAAACAGGACTCTGCTCTGGAGTCAAATCACTTTTTTTCCTTCATCTCAGGTGTTAAGAAGACGAACGTTACCTAAAGTTTGTGTTTGTTCTACTTTTCTTTCTGCCTTTACGTCAGCAGAACCCTGATCCTCCCTCACAGCTTTGTCTCACTTTTACGACCGTTTCCCTCCTTTGAATGTTTTACTGCTGACCTTGACATCACATTAACTACATTTCTGCGCTTCACGTCGCTCACTGGCCTGTTAGTCCTTCACACGGAAACCAGTCTGTCCCCCCAGTAGGATCCAGTCCGGATGCGTTAGAGATGTCTGCAGCGCTGCTCGCTCTCTGGTTTTGGGTTGTCGGCGTCCATGCTGCTCAGACAGGTGAGCCATGATGGGGCGGCGGGTATGAACACATGTAGAGGAATGTCGGAGCTCTGATTGGGTCTCCTCCTACCTGCCAGGTTCTAAGTGCGGCGATCCTCAGACGAGGAACCCGATGGTTCAGTCTCTGAGGGTCGTTGGAGGAACCGAAGCCACGTATGGATCCCACCCATGGCTGGTCAGTCGTCTACCTTTGATTTCTTTATGTGTTCATCTGGGGGCACATTTTTCCTGCTTATCGCCACCAGAGCAGATTAATTGCCACAAGTGTCCAGTCGCCGGCTGATAAGACGACTATTTGGGAATCGTCACAGTTGTATCAGTTCATTCGCTCTCTGCAGTCACATGAAGAACCAGCACAGACATTTAGTTATTTAGTCGCTTCGACGGAGATGAAACTTTAGATCCTCTTCCTGCTGAGTTTGGACACAGTCAATAAAGTTTTATGTTTATCTGCACATTTCACTCTGAGCTACGTTTATACTTGGATGTTGCACATTTTAAAGAGTAAAATGATGAGTGTTGCGTCCCAGGTCATGATCATTAATGTCAGTCCACTGGATTTGCTCTAATCACCTTCATGACACATTGATGGAAGATGCTGAATTGCACCTCGTAGTGTCCGTGTGGAAGCGTTTGCATTTGTCATGTTTTTTCCACCAATATATAAATCATATAAACCATGTGTATGACATATAATATGCATTATTGTATAATATAGAATTAAAAACTGAATAACTACCAAAGCATGTTAAAGGGCTCCTGCTT